TCATCTTCCAACTCCATGGGATCCGACGAATCTCGCAATTCCCTCCTTGCTTTAGCCAACTCTACTAATCTATTAGCTTCCACATCATCTTCCTCATCACTAAACCATATTTCAACTGTGTCCATTTTTTTAATTTTATAATAAAAGCAATTATTTTAAAAATGATGTAAATGAAACATTAAAGAAACAAATGTAAACAAACAAACAGCTGTTTACAATTCCGTCACCATTCACAATAGTACACATTTTTATCGATCAAGTTACACAATAGCAAAATAAAAGATGATCGACTCGATCGACAAATTTCTATTCTACTGCCAGTCGACACTCGCAATAGGGGCCTTCATTTTTGTAATAACGCGTGAACTGTTGTCTACAAGTGTGTGTAAAAGGTTTTTGATTCGATTCACGCGTTTGGGCACAGCAACCCAAAATCGTTGTACAAATTCATAAAGAGCACCCGATAAAATTTTAGTCAATATCTCGGAAAGTAAAGCAGATATTTAACAAGTCATTTTTAAGCAAAAAACAAAACCGACTTCAATTCTCATATAAATATAAATATATATATATATATATATATATTAGACTGTCCCAAGAATATAAATTTTGATATGCATACCCTCTATATTTGTGCTTTTTAGCCTAAATAGCATATATATGAAGTTTTATGGCCGTAGGCTAAGGATAAGCCGTGCCGACTTTTAGTTGAAGTTTTAGTTAATAACGAACTAAGGCTACCAAATCGTCCGTGGAAACTTTGGAAATGCAATAAATTCGAAATGTTTCCCATAGTTGAACGCATTTCTAGTAAATCTGCATCTTTAAATTTTTAATAGGATGACAGGATTTCTCCCAAGGACATCGAAAAAATTAATTAATCGAAGAGTATAGCGGCTTTTTAACGGTGTATTACAAGACAGCAAAACGATATGTTTTCTAGTCGAATAACACTGTGAGACAAATGGTAGGGGTCAGTGATCGGGAAGGGTTAAAACTACCTGGGAAAGTTATATCGGTAAAAAAGAAGTTATACGTGTCCCGGCGTTTCGCTGGGTCACGTCTAGGAATCGAGATATATCGATTTGAAGTTAGTAACTATCATATAGGGGAAATTGTCACCTTTGGTGGTCTTTTTTTTGACATAACTCGAGAACCACTAGTCCGATTTTGCTCAAACAAATTTAAAAAGATTAAAAATTACAATTTCTTTAATCTGTTCATATAACGTTTTTCTATATAATCAACAGTTTTGCCGGTAAAAATAAATGTATGAAGAAAAAAAATATTTTTTGCCTAAAATATTAAATTTTTTTTATTTTTTAAATTCATAAAAAATCCAAAACGGAAAAAAAGGCAAGTCGTATTACTTTCACGCAAAGTCACATAACCTTTAAGCAAAATGGGACATAGATCATGAAAATCGATGGACGCGTTTCGCTTTTATTCACAATTAAGTGAAGGTATCTCATTTTGACAAGAATATTGATTTTATGTTTCAATGAATTTGGATAATATTTATTATATATTATTTATTATTAACACGTAAAATTAACAAGTAAGAAAGTCTAAGTTCGGGCGGAGCCGAACATTAAATACCCGGCGCAAGTATTAAATATATGTTTTTCACCTTTCCGAAAGCTACCGCTACATGGTAAGCCGGGGTGTATCAGTTTTGAGTACATTGGCGTCCTTAAATTTCGAAATATCGCAGTTTCAAGCATTTCTGAAATTTACCGTTATATGAAAAGCGGCCGCAAGTTTAGTCCGATTTCAATACTTTTCGGCGTTTTGGTTCTATGGGGCAAGTACAATAACCACACCAAGTTTGGTACAAATTGGTAGAACGGTTACAGAGATACATATATATGATCATAAGTGGGCGGTGCCACGCCCATTTTCCAAAATTATATCATAAACGTATTTCGATAAGGAATTGTTGCAAGCCTCAATTTTGAATAAATTATCTTTAATATTTACTGATTTATCGAAGATTTCGTATTTCTCTAAATTACTGTTATATGGGATGTGGGCGTGGTTACTGTCCGATTTTAAAATTTTTCGGCCATTTTGTATGTCGTATCAAGGCCAACAACTGTGCCAAGTTTGAAAGAAATTGGTGCAGCGGTTACCAAGATAAACACATGTAACGATAAGTGGGCGTGGCTACGCCCATTTTCCAAAAATTTATAATATTCTTATTTTTTGTCTAAAACTTATTGTAAATATCAATTTTGAGTGAATAATCTTCAGTAATTACTAAAATATCGCAGTTTTCGTATTTCTGAAAATTACCGTTATAGGGGAGGTAGGCGTGTTTATTGTCCGATTTTGGCCAATACCATCCGTCCTACGCTAGAAATCAGTACACGTACCAAGTTTCGTTAAGATATCTCAATTTTTACTCGAGTTATCGTGTGCACAGACGGACGGGCGGACAGACAGTCACCGCTTAATCGATTTCTCTTTTCATTCTGATCATTTATGTATACATTTGTCTATATCTATCTCGATTCGTTTTGCCTGTTACAAACAACCGTTATGTGAACAAAGTTATAATACAATAATGCACAAGTGCGCTCGGGTATAAAAATTATTACAGGTAATTATTAGGTTATTACATAGATACATAGGTTATAAAAATCGATGAACGCAAACCTTATTTTCGTTTGTTTGCGCCCTTTACTTTCTTGCCTGGTGGTTCGCCCACTTGTTCAGAGTCTGTATCGGATGAGGATCTGTCTTCATCTGGAAAAAATCGATTGTTTTTAATCAGTCAGTTAACTTCATTTTTGTGACTTACCATCGGAGGAAACTCCCATTGTATATTCTTCTTCTTCATCTTCATTGTCGGGATCGTACGTCTTTTGCGACCACCAACAAATTTCAGCCACCAGCGAATCGAGCCTTTTGCCTTTATATCGCGTTTCCATTGGCATTGCCACTTGATGGAAGCGCTCGCCATATTCATCCGACTCTGAGGCTAGCTGCTTGCTGAAGTATTCGAGATGGTGATGCAAGAAGTGAATTTTGAGGGACATATTCACTCCAATTTTCTGGAAGTAGTGCAACATCTTGGTCACAAGAGCGGGGTAATTGTGTGCTCGCGTACTTCCCAAAAAATATCGTATGACTTTCTTCACTGCCCTCCACGCAAAGTAATCATTACCGTCTAAAGCACCTTTAAGTTCCTTTGATTTCATGAGCTTTCGTATATCCGGTCCATTCAGAACACCTTCCTTCAATTTTGCTTCGCTGATTGGTGGGAAAATATTTTTCAAACAATCAAGAATTTTCGGTTGCTTCACAATGGCCTTGATGAAATTTTTTACGAGTCCCAGTTTGATATGGAGAGGGGGCATGAGGACGTTCTCCATTGGCACCAGTGGATCATTTACGCAGTTGTGTCCTTCCTCCGTGGGATCTCGAGCAAGCCAGTCATGCGTTTCGTATTGGTTTCCTTTAACTCTGGTATCCCAAAGACACAAGAAACACATGTTTTTCGTATAGCCTCCTTGGAGACCTCTTAGCATCGCCACGACTTCAGATCACAACTGATCCGCCACATGTGATCAGTGTAGCAAACTTTATCCAAAATTATTTTCATGGAATCGTATGTTTCGCTCATGTCTGTGCTGTAGCCAATGGGAATGCTTGGTTTTTTATTATATTTATGTTGCAAAACGACTTTCAGGCTTGATTTCGAGGAATCGATGAACATTGGCCAATCAGCTGCGACATAATTAACGGTCATCGAGTGCATCAGTCCCTTTATATCGTGGCAGTAAACAAATGTGTTCCCTTCGTTGAGTGTGTAGTACCGTTGGAATAGCAATTGTCGTCTTCGATATCCGGTGACTTTGACATTAGGCTCCAAATTGTTGCCTTCTTTCAAAAGCTGGGCAAGTTTTTCTGCTTCACGTTGAGAAAGGTTTAATTCTGCAACAATCTTGTCCATTCTTGCTTGTGATATTGGAATTATTTTGTTCCATGGGCCGGCTTCTGGTGTTGGTTTATAGGTTTCAATAGAAAAAGAAGTTTCTCTGTCAGGACTTGGAAGCGGTGGAATTGGTATTTCATCCGAATGCGGTAGAGGTATTTGTGCACTTTTAACAGATATGTAAACTCTTCGTTTAAGGCCTTTACGATTTACTCCACATATTTTGTTTGCGCAAGCGTAACAGTTGTCGGAATTGTGCTCTCCTGGATCAGTCCAAATCATTGGTACACCAAAACGAAGTGAACTGCGTTTCCCATGGATCCACATGTTAAGACCATTGTAGCACGTTTTACAAATTTTGTCTGGGACCCACGAAACGCCGCGAATTATTTCGGAATCAAAATAAAGTTTAAAAGCGCGCTCCACTTGCTCAGTGAGTAATGCAGTATTTGTTGAAAAAGCTCTTTTGCCACAAACGTAACAAAATAAATTGATATTTTCTGGACAATTTGCCCTCATTTCGGTTTTATACTTTTATTACTTTTTCGTCACTTTAAAAAAATCGTACTTTACGCGTTCGGAGCATTGTGTACAAATACAAGTGAGATATCTTAGCTATAGACGTCATCCTGGGCCACAGCTGCGATCATCTGTTTTTTAGAGTTGCTTATTTTGGTCTTAACTGCTCTTTTTTGACCTGAGTTGCATTAAATAGTCTCTTAAAACCTGGTAGTATTTGTTGTTCAAATGGTAACATATATGCCCAAAAACTTGAAAAATATTAAATGATTGCTTTTTAAAAATGCTATTTACAAAATTTCGTTTTGATTGCGACATTAGAAATATTCAGATTATAAAAGTTTTTCACATATGTTTTAAGATTTTAAATCTTTTAAAAAGTACGGTAGAATGCAACAATGTGCTTGAATTTGTTTACATCTTCGTCAGCTTATTCGTTTGCAGACTAGAAGAATGCGAACAGCCATCAAAATACTGATTCAAAATACCCACCTTTCACTGGACACACAAATGGGTGCGCGCAGCAATATTCAGCCCTAATGGTAAGTTAATTTCATCGTGCGGTGATGACAAGTTAAGAATTTGCGATACATTTTCAAGCGAATGTGTGCGAACGTTCACCGTGGGAAGAGGTATGGGACGACAGCTGGCATGGCATCCAGACGGTAATCTGGTGGCTTTAGCAATAAGTTGTAACCGCGTTAAGATACTTGACATAGCTGAAGGCGAGCTAATACAGTGCATTCGTCGCCGGATAATGATGTTGCATTTCACTCAAGTGGAAATTTCTTGGTGACTGGCGGCGATGACGATACAATTAGATTGCTTGATTTATTAGAAGGTCGACCTATTTATACACGGTAGTAGTGCACTTTAGCGGAACCATATAATATAAATTTTGGCTGAGATTTCCATTACGGAACCAATTGCTATTCCGTGCAAAGTATAGTGAATTTTTTTATGAAACTCGGTGGGGATACTAATGGAGGTCTCCTTTAACTATATTTATCACTTTCACAATGTTGTTGCTAATAGTACTTAAGTTATTTGTTGTTAAAATATCCCGCCTGCTATCACAGGATTTTGTTATAACTCCACACCTATCACTTTTATTTACACAAATACATTATCCTTAAAAGGTTCGCATGCGTTTGTAATACCTTAATATACAATTATTAATTAATTAATTAAGTAAAACGCGTTTATAAATGTCTTCACAAACGTTTGCACATTTCACAAGCAAGCAGAAATAACAATGGCTGACAGTAACACAAAATGAATGCTACCATACGTTAAAAAAATACACCACAAATAAGTGCGTATAATTAGGGGTATAAGTGTACAATACGTACATTGCTGTTATTAAAAATAATAATATAAGGATCGATAGGGATCTTACTCCTGATCATAACGGTATAATTTTTTTCGCCGCTTTTCCCATAAAAATCAATACTTCGATAAATAACTAAGTTAACATTTTTATTACAAAATCTCTCGATTTTCGACTGAATCACTTTTTTTTTATCAATACATCGATATTTAATTTAAACAAAAAAGTTAATAACAATGCCCGTTTTTATTGTTTCTCGTTTTCAGTGCTTTTTTGGGCATTTTTATTGCTTTAACAAGTATTGTAAAGTGTTTTTACCGTATTAGCGAGTATTGTCATCGATTGCATTTATTTAACAATCCAGCGATACGAGCCGAGAGATTTGGGAAATCCGGACGAGGTTTCAAGGATAATCGTAACCAAGTGGTAACCAACTGTAACTGGTTACAGCTCAGTGAAGAAGAGGT